TAAAAAGAAAAAAAACAAACAACCCCATTACAAAGTGGGCAAAAGATATGAACAGACACTTCACAAAAGAAGACATACGAGCAGCCAACAGACACATGAAGAAATGCTCAACCTCACTAATCATCAAGGAGATGCAAATTAAAACTACATTGAGATACCACCTAACTCCAGTCAGAATGGCCATTATCAATAACTCAAAAAATAACAGATGCTGGAGAGGATATGGTGAAAAGGGAACACTTCTACACTGTTGGTGGGAGTGTAAACTAGTGCAACCTCTGTGGAAAGCAGTGTGGTGATTCCTAAAAGTTTTAAATATCGACCTCCCATATGACCCCACAATACTCCTACTGGGATAATACCCTGAAGAACTCAAATCACTCTATGAAAAAGATACCTGCACACGTATGTTTATCGCAGCATTGTTCACAATAGCAAGAAGCTGGAAGCAACCATACTGCCCATCAAAAGAGGGCTGGATTTAAAAAATGTGGTACATATACATGACGGAATACTACGCAGCTCTAAAAAAGAACAAAATCATGAATTTCGCAGCAACCTGGATGGAACTAGAGTCTATAATACTGAGTGATCTTTCACAGCAACAAAGATCTGAGTATCACATGTTCTCACTCATAAGTGAACCTTGAACATCTATCATAATACTATAAGAAAAGGATTGACACCCGGGCTCGGTAGCTCAGCCTGTAATTCCGTGCTTTGGGAGGCTGAGATGAGTGGATTGCCTGAGCCCACGGGTTCAAGACCCACCTGGGCAAGTGGGCGAGACCTCATCTCTACAATAAATCAAAAGAATTAGCTGGGCGTGATGGTGCACGCCTGTAGTTCCAGCTACTTGGAAGGCTGAGGCGGAAGGATTGCCAGAGCAAAGAAAAAGAAAGAAAGCAAGAAAGCAAGAAAGCAAGAAAGCAAGAAAGCAAGAAAGCAAGAAAGCCTAAGTTAAAAAAAAAAAAAAACTGAAAAAGAAAAAAAAAAAAGAAAAGGATTGACAGTGGTGGGAATCTATGAGGGGGACAGGGAGGGCAAGAGTGGTGGGATTAACGGTGGTCAATATCTGTCTGGGGATGGGGAACACCCCTTATCAACAAGGGTGCCTGAATGATGCATATTTGTATACCTAACCCTTAACTGTACCCCACAATTTTAAAATAAAAAATATGTTTAAAAAAATAAAAAGAAAAAGGTCCCTTATCATCATGTGTTAGTAAATGTGAAAAATAATTATACAAGCCTGAAAGCAACTATTTATCCAGGATGTCTTCCTCACAAACAGACTGCTGACTGTCCCTTTCCTTGTAATTATTATTGACAGGCTTTTAAAAAAGAGACACATAAAGAAATTCAGTCCTGGCTCGGTGACTCAGCCTGTAATCTCAGCACTTTGGGAGGCCGAGGTGAGTGGATTGCCTGAGCCCGCAGGTTCGAGACCCGCCTGGGCAACTTGGCGAGACCTCATCTCTACAATAAATCAAAAATTAGCCGGGCATGGCTGCGCGTACCTGTAGTTCCAGCTACTTGGAAGGCTGAGGGAGAAGGATCGCTGGAGTCCAGCAGGTAGACGATGGCGTGGCTGTGAGTGTGCCATGGCCCTCCACCCTAGGCGATGGAGTGAGACTCCCACTCAAAGAAAAAGAAAAAAAGAAATTCAGAATGTTTTTTTTTTAAACTGATGAAAATCCTTCTTGGATGCTGTCCTAGTCACTTTGCCTTCTTTGTCTCTATTTACCTCTTAGCTAACAGAACCACTGAAATGTCCCTACTGGAGTTATATTTTGCAGTTTTAGTAGAGGTGGAGTGTAGGCATTAGTGAATATTAGCACGAAACTGATTTAGATTTGAATCCTGACTCTGCCTCGTAGCTATGTGAGACTGAGCAAGTCAATCTCTGTGTTTTGTTTGCCCCTCCTGCAAAATAATACCCAATCATAACTAACACATATAAACTGCTTACCTGTACCAATCACTGTTCATTTGATCCTTACAGGATCTTTACAGGAGGAAGAAAACGATAATCTGCATTTTGTAGATAAAGAAACTGAGGCACAGAGAGGTTGACACTGAATGACTTCCCCAAAGTCACATAGCTGGTAAGCTGCAGAGTCAAAAGTCTACAGCAAAGTTCAGGCTCTAAACCCCACACCTACTACTATTAAGGGCTGTTTTGAGGATTAAATGAGACAATGAATGTAAAGTACAAGTGTGTGATAGGTAGCAGCTGTGGTGGTTAGAGGTGTTTGCCTTCTGTTCTGCGAAACTTCCAAGACTCTTTTGATTTTGAGTGGGAGTCTCACTCTGTCGCCCAGGCTAGAGTGCAGTGGCACACTCACAGCCAAGGCAGCCTCGATCTGTTGGGCTCAGGCGATCCTTCCACTTCAGCCTTCCAAGTAGCTGGAACTACAGGCGCGTGCCACCACGCTCGGCTAATTTTTTTATTTATTGTATAGACGAGGTCTCGCCAAGTTGCCTAGGCTGGTCTTGCCAAGTTGGCCAAACTGATCTCGAATTTGTGGGCTCAGGCAATCCTCTCGCCTCCGCCTCCCAAAGTGCTGGGATTGAGCCACCGCGCCAGGCGCTTTTTGCTTTGTTTATTTTTAGACTGGAATGCAGTGGCTCAATCCTGGCTCACCGCAGCCTCGACCTCCTGGGCTCAGGCGATCCTCTTGCCTCAGCCTCCGGGGCAGCTGGAACTACAGGCTTTTGCCGCCATGCCCGGCTAATTTAAGGCTTATTCTTGAGCAGGAAAAAATAAAATTAAAAAGGCTGGCGGGAAGAGGAGGAGGAGGGAGCCAGGGGAGGAAGACAGAGGGGTGGAATGTGAAAAGGGAGGAAAGGGGCAAAGCAGAAGAGAAGCAGGTAGAGCGCTGAACGCTTAGGAAGCACGATGTCCAGCCATGAGAGAACAGGGTGACGATTTCTCTGCTGAAAGTCACTGCCAAAGACTTGCCGGGTGAATAGCAAACACACGATCAACCCGCGCGGCCGCGGACCGGCTCGGGCGTGGACCACCAGGCTTCCCATCCCTTTCGTGGGTCCGCCCCACGTCGGGCGGGGCCTGGCCCGCCCACTCCGCCGGGAGCGGGAGAGCCCCAGCTGAGCCACGCGGTCTCTCGGGCCGCGCCTGGATGGCGACGTGGAGGCGGGACGGGA